CCTGTAGCTTCGTTGCACTCTCAATGCCATGTTCTCCCTGGTCTGATGGGGTCAGGAAAAGGGATAGGCTCTTCTGGCGCCATTTCTACCTCACTAAGTCTTACGCATCAGGCCCAATTTTGCGCGGCAAGACCGCGCCTTTGATGTCGCGTCCAGAAACCTACATACGTACACTTTCATGGCCAAGCGAACAGCGAACGGGTCTTCGGTCCGGTGTAACCTCTTTCATCATCATTGTGCGCCAATCGCAGGATGCTCAGAGGGCGCCGGCCGGCGCCTGTCATTGCTCTTTTGGGGCACTGCTCTGGACCTGCTCGTCGGGCTTTATCTCGTATCTGTGACTCCTCTTCAAATTCAAGCGCACTGACACTGCTCGGACAACTTCCGCGTTCCAGATGGCAAGCTACCTATCAAGTCGAAAGCTCTTGGTAATCTCTAAACGTCCCATTGACTCGGCCTTCGCGTCCTGTAATGTGAGAGCGTCAGATCCTCCTCCGGGGAATCCGTTGCCACTGCAGCTTGAGCTCTCCCTTGATTCGTTTGTCCAATCTCGAATTCGAGCGAAAGCCAGGCCCGTGACAACTCCAACACGGATCCGAGGGTCAAGTATACCGTGGCCTTGGCCGCCGAAACGGCTTGTACACAGTAGGAAGCAGTGTCGATGCAGTCGCACATGCGGATTGATGGAGAACGTACTTTGAAGCTGTCCACTTGTCAATGCGCCCCGTGAGCATTGTCCAGCAAGCGATCGCCCCAGCCGACTAGCAGCGATGCTCCGTTGAGATGGACTGCTCACTCTTACGCGTAGAGGGAGCTTCCCGACTCTTTTTTTTTTTTCAATTACGCACCATCTCAAGATGGTCCGCGGGCGCTGACCAAGCACTCCTTGTACCCAGTCCCCTCCCAGTGCCGTCAAGGGGCATGCAGACGATGCGATTAGGAAAAGAGTAAGTGTTTCGGTCGACCTGGATGGTACCATCTACGGGTGACTGTCATGAAAGGTCTCCAGTCATCATCATCGTCCCTCCTTCTCTTCACGTCGACCTCATTTGGCTCTTGCGAACTCGGCAGAGGCACCAGTAAATCCAGAGGTGCAGAGCCCCAGTGGTGCCGCAGGTCGGGAAGAGATTTTGCCGAAAGATCATGATTTGCGGGTGAATCTTGTCGCAACGACGATGCACACGTCCATCAGCTCAAGTTGCAGGTGGTAGGCTCCATGCAGAATCATCTCCTGTCGTCGACGTGCTGCTGGTTTGGGAAGCCCTGCTCTAGGGGAGCCGGGATGTGCTGACTCCCATGTCCAGGCAGGAAACTCGGGTGGAATACCAATTGAACACAGCGCGTTACACGGCGGCCGATTACTCTTGTCTTGCCTCCCTCCCCTGCCTCCCTCTCGGTCAGTTGCATTTCCTGCATTCATTTCGAGCATTCTTTCAGGGCACCGAGAGAGGCAGTCACGAGCTGTCTGGACTTGACTTTACCCTGACCTCGATTATGGACTTGAAGGAGGTTCTTCTCACTTCGTCTGTCCCAGACGACAAGCCTGTACCTCGACTTCTGGACTATCCACATATGAGAAGACGAAAGTCGACTGTTTCCGTGTGTGGCCGTGGCCACGCATGTTAAACCCTCTTGAAGTGGCTCTGAGAAATGGGGGCGTGACAAAATATGCATGATTTGCCAGCCCTTTATCGAAATCCTCAACCACCCCTTTCAAATCCAAAATGTACGCACACGAAATGCTCTGCCTCTTGCCATTCGGCGGCGAGCGTTCTAGTATGCAATACTCGCTGAAAGACAACCGGCCCAAATATCCAGGGGAGAATAGGTTCTCGGAGGCGACTGAGCCAAGGTAAGGGGAGCATAGAGCAAACACATGCTGGCCCGATGCGACTTGATCTGGTCCAAAGCTCGTGGATCTGGCGTCGTTATCGACCTTTCAACTCTCCGTTCATTTTCTTTTTCTGTCGGAGTCTCCTTCGAGAAGCTATCGGCATGAGTTTCAGGCCTTCTTGACATTCGAACCGAGATATGAATGTAAAGATACTTGCTTCTCCGATGACAGTCCTACTGCGGCGACTGAACGACTCTTCCAGCTCACGACGATGATACATGAGCGGCGCCACTCGCCAACAGTGACGAAGCCTTAGGTTGAGCTATCAACTACATGTTCAGGTTTGTTCCTACCCATACTTCGCAAGAGAGACCAAAACCTGAATCGTTGTCGCTTCGTTATTTGCTGCAGATTGCCCAAGTCTTTCGAAACGACTCCCTTCCAAGCCTGATGGAATGGAGCAGTTCTGCGACCCGTCTATCTGGAAATGTATATTTGTCCGACTTTCACCAGCGTATCTAACCTGTGAACCTCATGCAAGCCATTGCGCAGTCCGGATTCGATTTCCTGCAGATGTCGTCATTCCAGCGTCATCTACGAGTCAACCCATTTACTGCTTCAGCCATCGATTCATCGTCGCGTCCTATGACGGTAAGAAGCAGTCAACGAGTTCTGCCCACATTCCCACTACGAGCGGCAACACCAGCATGGCGGCGAACAAACCAAGCATAACCATCGACCCTTCGAACAAACAGTCCCCCCTCCGAGATGAAAAGCAAGGAGCAAGTCTGAAGGACCGACTTCCCCCGCCCAAATCAAGCCAGACTCACCCGCAGCGGAGTCCATCAATCACAGATGATTCCAACGCCTCGCTCTTCTTTGTCGGCACAGCCACAACAATCCTCGAGTGGGAAGGTCTCCGCCTTATGACCGATCCCAACTTCCTCCACGCCGGCGATCACGTCCACCTGGGCCCGGGCGTCACCGCGACGCGGAGGACCAACCCGGCGGTAAACCTGGAAGACCTGCCGCCCGTCGACCTGGTGCTTCTCTCGCACTACCACGCCGACCACTTCGACCAGAAAGTCGAGGCCGAGCTACGCCGCGACCTGCCCATCATCACCACTCCCCACGCGCACGAGCATCTCGCGCACAAATCGGGTGGTGAAGCATTCACGTCTGTCCACGCCCTCGACGCCTGGGAGGACATGCTCGTCGATGTGGCCTCACCGTCATCACCACCCGAGGGCCGCCTTCCGCGCCTACACGTGACAGGAATGCCAGGAAAGCACATCGGCGACGGGCTTCTCGCGAAAGCGAACGACATTCTCGGCGCCGTGCCGCCGACAAATGGCTGGATGCTAGAACTGGGCTACGCGGCCGCCGCGGCCGGTGAAGACCCCGATGCCTTCCACTGTGGCTACCGCATCTATATCTCCGGGGACACGCTGTACGTGCACGAGCTCGAGAAGATCCCGGAACTGTACACGCACGCGGGTAAGCCGATTGATTTGATGCTGGTGCATTTGGGGGGCACGACAGTCCCAGGCCCGCACATGCCGCTGGTGATGGTGACGATGGATGCCGAGCAGGGATTGAAGCTTGTGCAGCTTGTCAGGCCGGAGGTTACGATTCCGATCCATTACGAGTGAGTGTCTCTGCGTTTGCCATTTTACTTGTGTTTCGCTTGTTTGGTTCTGTTCACTCTCATGGACGTGTGATGCCTGTGTATCTCCTCCCATTAGCCCAGAACGCGTTTCTGCCATTGAGAGATGACGACTGAGCACAGCGCATGTTCTTTGTCCTTGATATGGCATACCATGGCAACACCGTAGCGAGGTCCCATCCCGTCCGCAAGAGACAATCAGGCATATGGTAAAGTATTTGATATTTCGCAAGAGGCGAGCGGCGAACGGGTGAGTGAGTGAGTGAGTGAGCGAGTGAATTGCTGAACAGAAAGAAGCGAGCGGTCTGTTGTTCATGATCATGTTCAAGGTCGTGTCCTTTTCATGGTTGTTGTTCTCGTTCTCGTTCTCCTTCGCGCGTTCTTTCGACCTTGCACCGATGCGAACTATACGCCTATATACATACGGAGTACTCACCCTACTCACCCTACTCACCCTACGTACGCACTACGGCAAACCCCCGATTTCTGATCTAGACTTATCCCCGCAATCCCTTCCTCCCTGTTCTGTTCCGAGTACACCACTGGTACACCACTGCTCCTTCATTGCCATGTCGTTTCACTTCACTTCACTTCACCAGACAGAATACCTCACCCTAATCGTTCTCGTACTAACATACTCATCCCAACAGCGACTACGACGCCTTCCTCTCCCCGCTCTCCGACTTCCGCACGGCCATCACGAACGCCAACCTCACGGACAAAGTCGTCTACCTCGACAGGGGGGATGAATTCAAGTTCACGGTCCGCTGAGCTGGTCTGGCCTGGCCTGGCCTGACTTGACCTGGCATGCGGAATGACTAGATTTGCGCGGGAAGACGGGTAAGACTCGGACACAGTCAGAGCCAGTCGGAGCCAGTCACAAAAACGAAAGAAGGGAAAGGGGAAGGGGAAGGTGAAGGTGAAGGGGAAGGTGAAGGGAAAGGGGAAGGGGAAGGTGAAGGGGAAGGGGCAAGGAGATGACAATGGAGAGACGTGTACCTGCGCCCCGTAAAGTAATCAAGGCTACGTCCAGCATACGATATGGGATGCGGACTGAAACGGGCGGAGGCATCTTGGGAGTGTCATGGAACCGTCAATCGAGTGAAGAAGCGAAGTACTGTAGGGAGTACACTTGCTGATACGGAGTATGGAAGTAGCGACATGTCACTTCTCCGGCAGACATCAAGGCCTATTATATCCAGCCCGAGTGAGTTCCATCGGAGAATGTCGACACTGGTGGATGGGTTATGCTGCTGATGAAATGTTACTGGATTGTCAACCCCCTAGCAGGAGCAGGATGTGAGCTCAATAAATATCCGTGTCATGATGTTTCGCAGTCAATGTTGATACATTTCTATATTCGGCTATTTGATTGTATGCTACATTCGATGCAGCCAAACCCATCATTTTGCCGAGTTGATTTTCATTATCGCCATCATCTAGCCAGCCATTGTCGTCAGAATTCCTCCCAAAAAGAAAATGTCAGCCGGTTGCCCACATCTAGTAAGCATATTCCCTCTCCCTCTCCCTCTGACCGATACCGTCGCGGCTCCTCAACCTCGACCGTGGCGTCTGCACGTCCGCATATTCGTCATAATTGGGCAACTGTCGCCGAACGTCGCCGTAACTCTGCCTTCCTTCATTGAGCTGCCCGTACCCAGACAGTCGATCCCGACTTGACGAGTACTGATGGCTCGGGGTGTGAGATTGCTGGTGACCGTACTGCTGTGGCTGTGGCTGAGGCATAGCTGGATGCTGGTGGAAATGTGCTGGGACTTGTGGAGCATAGTCCATACTCATACTACTCGCATCGTAGACGGATTCTCTTCCGCTGGGTGCACCGTAAAAACTGGTGCGTCGGTCGTCGACGGCCGACGAAGGGTCTAGGAGAGATTCTTTGACGTCCCAATTGCCCTGTTTTGTGCCGACGCTGAATTCCAGGTCCTCCTTGGTGATCGAGTCCCAGTACTTGGATCCAGGTTAGTGCAAGAGGAAAGGGCAGCGTAGACGGCTTGGTCACTCACCTTATAGACCATCATGACACCCAACAGATTGCAGACGGTGGCGAAGAACAAGCCATCGAGGTAATGGCCGACTCCTTCGCAAATCCTCTTGCCAAACACGTACAAAATGACCTGGCCGACGATGAAGAAAAATGCACCAAAGGCGAGGTCGCCCAACGGCCATCTGTCCTGTAACGTGTTGACCACCAGAATGATCTGCATGACAAAGTATACTGCCAGACAGATGGCGTTGATGACATACAATACGATGAAAAGCCCCGTGGTGTTGGTGGGCGACAAACCCGCCCAGCCCTTGAACGTGAGCAGACTGACGGCAAAACTGATGACAAACATGATCAGGCTGCCGAGTCGTAACAGCCATATTGAGAGCGTGGTCCCATCCTCATACAACTGGAAGCCCACAAACCCGTTGATCAACAGACAGGTGCACAGCGCACTAGCCAGGCCATCCTGCACCGCGACGAACCAGGGATAGGCAGACGTGGTTGTCGCCTGAAGGACACCTGCGTCCAGCACCAAGCTGATGACGGTCAACAGAGTGTATATGTAGAAGAATGTCAAGATCTCTTTCCTGCCGACTGCAGTGAACTTGGAGCGGACGTGGAAAATCATGATGGCCGTCATAAACAGGGCGGCGATATGTGCGAAGTCAGAGGCGGCCTCGAAGATGATGGTGTTGCCCAACTCGATGGATCGGGCGCTGCATGCTGGCAACAGCACAGGGTTCTTCGTGGTCGTGAACTCGGCCGGAGGACCTAGGAGGAAACATAACGGGAGCGCGGACTGCTTGCAGATCGAGTCGAAGGAGCCGAAGCCCATGTTGGGCAACCTGCCCGGGACAGGACGAGTCGGACACGATGGCTATCGATTACGAGGCTGCTTTGTGCGACGTGTAGAACGATGGTCGGACGTATCTTCGTAATGTAATTGGGGAGGCGAGTGGGCGCAAGGGGTGATCGATAGGTACAAAACGTGACGCAGAAGTGTTGAAAGCGACTGGCGTGGTTGTAGGATTGCGATGAGGGACGGTGAACGATAGTGAAGACGTAATTAGGCAACGAGAGTCTAGAAATCAAACAAGAGACGACAACGAACGGTGGTGAGCATCGTCGCCGGCCAGGAAAAGACTGTTGAAACCAGTCTCACCAGGCCGACACTCCACCGTCGTGGGTGACAGGGAAACCGCGACAGAGGCTATGCCTATTGTGGCCTAGACCACATCGGCGGGTCCCGAAATAGCAACTTTAAACCCCATCCAACCAATTCCGCCGCGTCGTCACCAAGGCTGAGTTCATGATACCTACTGGGTAATTACTGTGTGTTGTGTACAAAAGCTATGGGCGTCCCTAACAGTTCCAGAACCTCTTTTCGCTGGACTGTTGGAGCTGGAGGGCTGTCCTCCTGCCTGGATGCGGTTTCTTGGGGGTATCAATCATTCCGCGTAACAGTGCATCAGCCCCGCGCAACATGTGTGCTCCCACCTGTCACTAGTCACCTTCCCACAGCCCTAAGCTACCCAACGCCGTTTGCTGTGCTTACAGAGGCCGCAATTACTGAGTCCATACAAAGCAACACCATGCACCCCGGATCAACGGCCGTTCTCAAATCCTGTCAAACCGCCACTGTCGCCCTTGCCCGGTCAACCGCCAGCATTTCGTGCCCGCAGATTCCGTGCTGCCCTTGACACAAGGCGGTGCGCTCGTCCTCGTGCGGTCTCAAGCTTGTCGGCAACAATCGCGTGGTCCAGTCTTGGCCGGAGTCGCCGCTGGTTTACTGATTGCACGGTATTCAGGATGCGTGAGCGAGCATCAGAATACTTGGTCGATAGAACATCGAGGAGCATTCGTCCATGCATGAAGCATTCTCTGTTTCGTTGCACCAACTGGTCGTGCAAATCTTGCATCTTCTGGTGAAACCTGTATCTAAGAATGGTCATGTTCAAGTCAACCAGTTTCGTGTATTGGGCGCCGTCTCGGCGTCTTCGTTCGTCCAGTCGATCCTTAGCAAGACGGAGCAGCGTCGAAAAGCGATCGGAGAACAAACCGTGGCCGATATCTTGCAGAGATGAGGAGATATTGGAGACCTTTGCTTGTACATGGCCTTGTAACATGCTCAACAGATCTTTCAGATGCTGTCCCTCAAAGCGGTACCGGTCACCGAAGGAAACCTTGATGATCTCGATCAGCTCAGGTCTGCTCATGGTTAAGTTGACTTCAATGTCACCGTAAGCATCGCGAGGCAGAAGTTGCACGCTGACCACTCCCTCGAAGAGCTCTTGTACTGCAGCCGGCAGCTTTTGCGTATCCCGCCACAGTTCGACAGTCAACTTGGACCGGGCTTTGTGACTCAGTGCGACCTCAGGAAGTTTGACCAGTAACTGCTTATCGCCTGCAATGCTCACTCGAAAACGTCTTGAATCATCGGCAAGTACCGGATTGACATGTGTCGAGCTCACACCAGGGATGTGCCGAAGTGCTTGGGTTTCTTGCCCAGGAATGCAGGAAGTACTGGGCGATCCTTGACAGGGTGGATGCATGGTCGTGGTTGGCACCGGCGGTTTCGTGCTGGCGCTTGATACCACTTCTCTGCTACTTCCTCCTGAATTGAGGCCCGATAGCACAGGCCACAACTGATATCCTAGAAATACGTACACACCAACAACCCAGAGAAGCATCAAGGCATTCTTCAATATCGACGGGTTGAGTCGTGGTATGACATCAACCATGGTCATCGGCTTCTCCACGGCGTTTTTGGGCAAAGAGTTCTGGCTTTCCACCTCGCGGCGGGCCGCTCTATCTGCAGACATGACCACATAGGCGATGTGCCGGTTGAGCTGGGCAGAATCTAGATTCAGGAATGCAGCCATATCGACAGGTAGTAGAGGAGAGCCCTTATGCTGGGGTTGCTTGTGCTGCGGCTTAATGCGTTCGTGAAGGGACCCAATAGTCACGACGCCATTATACTGACCGTGCCAGCCTCGGTCCATGCGGATGAGGATACAAGGTATGCGGTGTCGTTCAGCAAACGAAATCATTCTGAAGCTGTCGACATCCATAGTATCCTCGTCGCTAAGATGAACACAGATGATCGCAAGGTCTGGGAGTGCCCAATGTTGGTTGTCAACCACGAACCTGGAGCCACTTCTCTTCGAGATGAGCTTCGTTCCGGTCTGGCTGTTCGTAAGAATCAACTCCGTCTGTTGTCCAGGCTTTCTAGAGGCTGCGACAAGGTCGTAGCAATCAAAATCAATCTGTTTGTCGATGGCGACAAGGTCGGCAAAATCAGGTTCTGCCCCAGGCCCAAATTTATTCGGTACCAGGAGGAATCTCGTGACCGAGGTTGGATTGGTATAGCTAGGGGTTCCGAACCGTGTCACAAGCGCGTCTCCTACTTTTCTCTGAATCTCTGGCCTGAACTGCTCGATTTGGCGTCCGAGTAAGAGGACGTTGAAGTGGTTGTGCTTGTTCAGATCCAGACCATCCTCCAACACGGGCATCTCGATAACTCGAAAATACGTAGTCGACTTGGTCCCGTCCTCTCGGAATGAAGGGAGCGTCTGGATCTCGGCCTCGGTGAGTTCTTTGCTGGCGGTAAAGGTGGTTACGGTATGGGGTATGATATTCTGGACATCGTTCACCCTGCATTGTGACGACTGCAGGCTGTCGGAAGACCGAGCGTGGACGGGCGGCTCATGGCGGATGTAGGGCCCTAGTATATGACCCCTATCCAGCTCTTCTGTGAGGGTGTCGCCCAAATCTTCCTCATCTGTAGACTCGGCGTCGTCGGTGGTGACTTCATCTGTCACGCTGCGGACATCGTCTGAACTGTGTACATCGAGCAGTGACCCCACATCGGTGTGCTCGGACTGTAGGTCCTCTTCATTCGAGGACTCGTCTCCAACAAGAGAGGCCCAACTGCCATCGAGGGGCGGCTGATCTGCCTCGGGCGGGGGCATGACGGTTCTGGTGGGGGATGGATTCGACGACGAGGAATGCGCCAGCAGCGAGTCAAGGGAAAGATGCAGCGGTAACTCGGGATATTCGAGGTCGAAGGGGTGAAATTTGGTCGCCGCAGACGTGCTAGACTGTTCCAGTTCGTCTTTAACAGCGTGACCACAGCCTTGACCAGACATGTCAGTCATGTTGAGAGCAGTTGGAAGTCACAATCCGGGGCTCAGGCTGGCGTCGATACTTCCTTGGGGTGTTTGGGAACAGAGATGAAATTGAAAGGACCTACTGAGGTTATAGGAAGAGGGTCGCAGCTGCCTTTGGATGTGCGGAAGGTGCCAACAATGTTCCAGTGGATTCACTTCAGACGACGCTGGTTCAACAAATAGAACGTCGGGTCCGGAGCAGGGAGTGCTGCCTAAGACACGAATGGTCCCTGAACAGTTGACTGGGGGCGTGTTTCTCCCAGATAAAGAACACCACTGCTAGACAAACGCGACAAAGATCATAATTCAGAGGAAGTCACGAAGCACAGAGGGGACAGAGGCAGTGAAGGCAGAGATGTCGAGCAGTGCAAGGGCTACTGACACTGGCAGGTGAGGCAGGCAACACATCTGGACCCCGCAACGCGCTCAGACAGGCAGGCTCCGACAGCCATTGCCCCGCCTTCCTGCAGCTGTTGTTCGGGTGTGACAAGGCTGCAGTCCAGCCTCGTGGAACACCATTTTCCAGGATCAGCACACGGCATGTCTGTCTCGCCGTAGAGATATATTGTATTCACACAGGCCAACCTCTACACTCGATTCATGGTGAATATAGATGGCCTCTTTCCTTCCTCACACAGACCAATTATAGAACGGCCTTCAAGGCCCATCGGAGACCAGTGACTCTCGGCTCGGTCAGCACCGGCCCCAAATGCCCGCTCATCTGCTGGACTTCGGAGCCCCGAGTGGCGTCCAGCCTCTTCTAGCAAAAGGTCTTGTTACTCATGTCTGATGACCTGATGCTTCTGATGTGTTTTGGGTTGTTGCTTGGGCAGATGTCAAGTACTGGGGTCTTCAGTACAATATCAATCGGGGAACGTGCATCCAGCACCCAAATCTTTCCTGACCAATGACAGGACCGCTGGTCGTCTTCTCAAAGCCAGACCGATGCATCTGTATCTGCACCAAAGTACTCCAACGCCGGACTGCCATGCAATAGTCAAACACGCTATCCTACCATTGCTTTTTGCTCCTCATCCAGTCCCGTTCGTTTCACGGAGAGGCGTAGCCGCCAGCTACTTCGACCCATTCTGCGAAGCAGCTCCCTTCTTTCCCCTCGACGTCGCGGATGTCGGTGTCACATCGGCATCGGCATCCTACCCCGTTTTCTTTGGGCGTGTCTGGCGTGGCCCAATATTCGTCTTCCTCCTTTCTCTCTTTCTCGTCCTCGGTCGTCTTCTCCAGCCAGGGGATTCTGGGCAGTTGTCGTGTGGGCGCATTAGCCGGACAGTGTTGAATCGTGGTGTGTCGGTAGCCAATGTCACGGAAATAGTGGATATCGCGAGGTGCCAAAAGAGCACCCGCGGCCAGTGAATGGATTGGAGCATCTCCCCACTGAAACGAGTCAATACAACCAACACGGACACGAAAGCCGGAAGTCACTCACCCTTTCCATCCAGAACCCTCCACTCCTGTCCATCATATCGAAGAAGTCATTGTACTCTTTACTCCTGAACCAGTCTAGCCGAGCAATCTCGAAATTGCTCCAGAAATGGCACATGTTGTATTTTTCACCTTCCATAGCTTCGCCGTCAATGTCTTCGATGTTTTGGTGGCCGGGTTCGGTCTGTAGAATCTCGTTGGGCAGAGTCTTCAGCCGTTTGTCACTCGAGGTGGCCTGCTTTTCTGGCTGTGGCTCGATGAACATCTCCCAAAGTCCCTGAGACTTGATGTTGTTCTTGCGCTTGTAAGCCGACGCATAGCGGAAAATGTTGGGTACTGTCTCTTTCAACTCCTTGACGGCGATCGTGAAGCCGTAGGTCTTGTTTGCCCTAGCCATCTCAACGAACGGGTCGTAGGTGATGTCGCAGAAGTATTTGATCTCGGGCTCCAGTCGCCAATACCATTCGTACTTGTCGAGCAATTCGTGCTTGTAAAAAAAGCCAGAATAGAAGCGACACATGTGGTGATAGCTCTCCATGCCACCGTACATGATGGCGGCGTCTCCTTGCTTGCGTATTCCTTCCCGTGCGACCTCATGGTCGACCCAGTCTGGGTATCCCCACATTGAAGGGTCAATCTTGCCAAATTCAACAGTAGAGCTCGTATAGTTGGTGACAGTATCTTTGAAACCCTGCTCAAACTCGCCGTCGTTGAGGAAAACGTAGGGATAGTGGAACCACCGGTTGAAATGCCTCTCAATACTCTTGATCGACTGTATGACTCCGTCCAACTCTTTATTCCTGGCGAGAACAACGAAAGCGGCGTTGGCACGCGGCTGCTCGGCGGCCGCCAGGACATCCTGGCATCCCGTTGCGAAGACTCGGTCGTGTTTCTCGCTGATCTTCCTGCGGCGGGAGTTAGAAGTCACTCGGGCGGGGCAGAAGCAGATGAAGAGCATACCTTATCGACGGAGGCGTGCCAGCGGGCACCAGTATTCGCCCCGGTGAGTTGGGATGTTTTAGGACGAGGATGAGAATGGTGAAAACCACCACGCTGGGAAAAAGGAGGAGGAATCCCAGCGGAATGGATATCGACGAATTTCCTTTTAATCTGATGCGCCTGCGGAAGAAGGATAACCGCGAGGGCGTCTTGGGCTTCTCATTCTTCCACTCTTCTGCTGCGAGCGCCGAGGAAACAGAAGGCAGACGCTTGTATAGCCGCTGTACAAAACCCATCGTGACGAACTCCTACCCGCGACACAGGAGAGCAATTCGCGCTGCTTTCGAACTTTTCTGTCGACAACATGCAACCGGCATCGAATGTCGACTGCAGACACCAAGAGCAGTCGGTGGCTCTGGTAATAAATGGACGCTATTAATCGATACGGAGGCGACGAAGTTTTCGGGGGACGTCGCTGGACGTGTCGAGTTAGGAGTTAGGAAGCGGATAGGGATGAGCGCGCAGGGCTCGGCGAGGAAATCTGGGTGCGGGCGGATTCGCGTGCTAGAACTATTTGATGCGATACGAAAGCATCATATTGAGCTCACGGTGTTGCCTAGACAAGGTACAAGGACAGATATCGCTCCCTCGCGGTCGTTGGGGACATCGAAGAACTTCTAGATTGAAGGTGCAGGCGATGATCCACATCTGGTCGGCCGAGTTCTCACAGGTTCAGGGGACCAGAGACACCCACCGCCGCCAAGAGCAGCATACGTACAAACGGTCGATGAATCAATGGTTTTCGTGTTCCACGAGTACTTATTCGCTTCTTGCTATGGACTGCTCTCATGATCGAAGAGGCTCAAGGTCGCCAGAGCGCTGTCGGTAGCAACAGATTCACGGCCGGCATTCAGTCACCACTCAGCTGACATCCTTACTGCTCTCTGTGGCACCACCCTTCTTTTCAAATTTTGCCATGCGGATTGCATCGGTGGCCAGAGTGGCCACGGGGCGAGGACCAAATATACTCGCCAATGGCTGAGGGCAATCGGCGGAGAAATAGTTACCCAGGCACCCCTAAACCGAAGCTTTCGTGGTGGAGGGCACGAGGCAAGGGGAGGGTTGCGACTGCGCTCCGAGGCTCCCCAGCCTCATGTGGCGAAAACAAAGCCATTGTTGACGTTGACAGTCACTCAACCATCCCGCAATCAAATACGCCAGACAGCCGTCGACTCGTCCACCAACCATCCTCTCGCCAAATGTCCCAACCGTGACCTTCCTCGCCGCTTCATGCGCACGACCTGAGCCTTTGGCATAGTCCCCCGCGTCCGCCAACCGATTGAAGGCCGTGCGCCTCTACTTGAAACGCTCGTTTGATCTTGCCTGAGACCTTTCCCGCGTTCCTGCAGCTGCGCCCTCGTCCTCCTGCGATTCCGCCGATTGACCCTACAGCGCATGGAAATGATATAATAGCCACATCTGAGCGTCCAGGACGCCGGGGCTGGTCACTCGTTATTGCGAGCTTGGGTGGTCCTGATCTCAGCAGCTGCATACCATGGCCACGACTTCCCCCCTCCGTCCGTCGACTCCCGCCCGCCCGGTTCTTAATGCGCCTCAGCTATCCCCAAGCCGCATGCCGCCACCATTTACCTCGCAGTCGTCTTACAAGTCGGGCCATCGAGGTCTCGACATGTTCTCACCGGTCGATCAGAATGGGAGTTTTTGTTTTGATCGTGTGATCAAGAGTGGAAAGGTGCATCGACGGGTCAAGAACAAAGGAGCATGGAAACCCTCGTGGAAACAAGCATACCTGGTCCTCCGCCCAAACCTTCTCTCTGTCTACCAGAACCCAGATGAGACCGACCTGAAGGCTTCCATAACCTTGTCCGAAGTCACGGCTGTGGCCCGGGTACGGAAGGCCCATACCGACCATGTTTTCGGCGTCTTCTCCCCTTCCAAGAACTACCATTTTCAAGGAGCTTCCGAGGCAGACACGGAGGATTGGATTGCGCATATTCGCCTGGAATCAAGGATGGACGAGGATGACGGCTTGGATCTCAAGGCACGGCAGTTCTCAAGCAAGCATCCTGACCAGTCGAATACATACGAGTCTACCGACATATCAGCTGATGAGATGCACCGTGCCCCTGGCTCTCCAGAGGGTCATTCAGCCACGACGCAGAATAGAACACGCACTGGCTCATTACTCGCAGGCCGACAAAGAGCTCACTCTACTCTGCAAGAATACTCCGGCAACGAGCAATTCACAACATCCCATTCCGACTTCTCAGACACTCTTAGCAGTTCACTGCCGAAGCATTCTTCTACTTCACTCTCGAAACAGCCTGTCCTCACTCCCATCGCCTCATCCGGCCACCTGGCCGAGAAGCTCAACCCGACCGCAACCACAACATTTACTCAACCTCCACCACCAACCCATTCCGACTTGGCAGGCACCACAGACCCTGAACGCGTCGTTCGCCAGGGCCACCTCCAAATTCTCAAATCGCGCAAGACTGGCGTCAAGGGCTGGAAAAGTATCTGGGTGGTGCTCCGGCCCCGAAGTCTTTCCTTCTACAAGAATGGCGCCGAATATGCGGCTGTCAAGATCCTCCCTATGCACACCATCGTCAATGCCGCCGAGATTGATCCAATCAGTCGAAGCAAGAGCTTCTGTTTTCAGATCATCACGGATGACAAGACTTATCGATTTTGTGCGCCGGACGAGGAGGAGTTGGATCGATGGCTCGGCGCGATCAAGAGTGTGTTGGCAAGGAGGAACGAAGCGGAGAAGGCTGCCGTTGCCAAAGCCATGGAGAAGGAACTTCGGAAAGAGAAAGGGAAAGGAAAGGACAAGGGCATTGTCGAGGCAACAGCCAACTTGACCCTGAGGGCGACGCCCCAAGCCGTCTGAGCGATCGCAGGCCCCTGCAGTTTGGACAATGCGGGCCAAACCTCCTGATGACTTCACGACATTCATGCGCATGATTTTCCTTTGTGTTAATTTATACCCTATGAATCCTGTGTGCGCGACGGGTTTGGATGATTCCATACCTTTTATGGGTGCATTTGGCGAGTGCATGCCCCTTTGGATACAGATCGACTCAGATGCTTTGGACAACGGTGAAACGTGGCTCACTCTTTTTGGACGGTACATACGTTACACTGCTACAAGCCGGACGCCGCCGTCGCGCACGATGAAATCAATGGGAAGATCCATCACATACTGAGTACAAGTAAGGGTGGCGGGCACCACAGATAGGCCAGCCCATAGCGGGAGCAGAGCCAGAGAAGCGAAAATGCCATACCGGGATGTCCATATGTGTGCAGAGACATCTATCTCTTACTGTCTAGCCGTTTTGTCTGTCCATTGACTTGGCTTCTGAGAGTCCGTTACACTCCCTGTCCAGTGTACTGTACTGTAGGTACTCCGTACAGTGGTCATTGTCTAATATACGAGTCACGGCTCCGACGATACGATCCAACACGACGCGACGCTGGGTGTGCCAGTGTCCGAGCCGTCAAGTCCGTCTCTATCCCTACTCTCTACAAGGAGAGATATTGTCAACTCATGTTATACAGTACAATATGTCCGGACGGCATGCTCCTGTTCCATCTATTGCCCTACTACATGCATGGATGCATGCATGCAGACCTCCACCTTCACATCCGCTTCGGCTTCGGCTTCGGCTTCGGCTTTCCGCCTCCGCCTTTGCCTTTGCCTCCACTATTTACTACTCACCGACCAAACATGCGCCGAACGCGTGCCCAGAGGCCCTGGCGTCTCTCTTCGACCACGATATCCTCGTCGTGGAACGCGGCAGGATCTCTAGATGATGCCATCCCCTCGTCCAAGCGTTGGTACTCGACCTGCACGTCCTCGATTCCCTCCTGGGGGGCAGGCGGCGGAGGCGGCTCCGCCCACACGGGGGGTCTTTTCCCTCCTTGCAGCATCTCCTCCGTCACCCAGCCGTCGTCGACGCTACTGCCCATCACGTGCACGCTCTTACCCACTACCTTGGCGACCTTGACGCGTGGGCTGTCCGTGATGAGGTTCCCTGCTTCGTCCAGATGCGGCGCCCACGTCCAGGCCTTGGCCACGCCAAAGGGCGCAAGAGACCTGTGAATCACGTTTCTGGGCCACGACGAGGCGAACAGTCCGTCGTTCACGTCCGCCCAGTACATTTTGACAGAGCGCGGTTCGGTGGCCCAGTCGGGCTTGAGGGCTGAGAGGCTGGATTGGACGGTGTCGGTTTTCGTGGTGGTAGTCCCCGTGTTGTCTTGGTCTGATCCGGTTTCCGCTTCGCCTGCTGCGGCGATTTTGCTCATTTTGTGCTGTGTGTCGTAGCTGTCCAGCGCGTTCTCTCTGGCCAGCGACACGGAATCCCACAGCGAGCCCATCTCCGTGCTAGGCGTTTCGTTGTGCCGGAACCATTCCTTGATAGCCTCGTGTTCGGCGGACTTGGCCATCTGTATGCGCTCTTTGAAAGCATTGTTTTCGGCCTCCAGTATCGCACGCCTCTGTTGCCTCTGTACGGCAATGGGCTCCTTCCTGTTCACCTTCACTTTTGTGCCTGACGGTTCATATTGCTGGAGGTTGTCGATATCGATCGAGGGTTGGTTGTCGGGATCGTCGAGTTTGTCCCCCTTCTCACTAATGATGCTGCGATGTTCCATGCTGAGCTGGCGAATGGCATCGAAGGTAAGACGCAGGGACGCTCGGTCCCCATCAGCGAGACTCTCAACTGCTAAAGAAGCACGTCGCCGGATCTCGGCGGCTTTCTGTTCGATCTCCTTGCGGATTTTCCTTAGCCTGGCCACTGAGTTGCGAGACAATTCTGTGGCCTTGATGGCTCGATTCTTGGCCACTGTTGTTACACGCTCCCAGGGACTCGGGCCTGACAGTATCCAGTCCAGCACAAATGCCGCGTCGGCAACGCTGGTAGCTTTCTGATCCATCAACTTCTGTGCGCGCAGTTTCTTCGGCAGGATCTCGTTGAGTTGGGGGATCTTGCCCTGTAGCTCATCGCGGGCCGCCATTTCTTGTAACGTTGTAGGAGACCCTAACTTTGACTTGACAATGTCTATATCTTCTTGAGTGGCTCGAATCAGATTCTCGGGAGGGGACAACTGCCTCTGAGTTGAGAGCTCGCGCAGTTTCTGAAAAGCGAAGAGACCTTCCAGAGCTCCGGCAGGCGTGGGTGGGAAATGTATAGAGAAATAAGGCGTCCACATGTCATTGCGGACGGTGGCAGGCACAGTCTTCTTGCCATGATAGAGCAGTTGGGCGAGAACCTTGTTTTCCTGGCCATAACCTAGTCAGCAGAGTGTTATTCGTAGGGGACAGTTGCCCACACCTGCAACGTCCTTGTCAAGCTATAGACCACCTGGTTCGTTCGAATATGGCGATAGGCGTATATGTCCAAGCCATGCGTCTGATGTCGGAGGGCCTTTGTGACTTGGATGTCTTGGGTTGCCTTTTTATTCTTGACGGCTTTAGAATTTCCCGTCCGCCATTTGCCTTGCACCCATTTCGCGCTCGGGCTGTCCGAGGTTATGGGTGGCATTGCGGCATTATTAGGATGTGGATCTCCTTTCAGTAGTCGTGGAGGGCGTATTCGAGGCATGGCAGGAATAGACATGGGCGGCAATTGATGAGCCATGGCACTTGCTGCGGTAGCCGCCATTACGGACGACGCAGAATTGATGGACTTGACGGTGCCCGTGAGATGAATGCAACCTGTCAGGAATGCATTTCCATGGGCTCGATGTCAGAGCCTTCCGAAGTTGACACGCGGAAGACCTGACAAGCACGGCTTGTTCGAGTTCTTCAACACGAAGCTTCATGCGCGACGAGCAGATCATGGGGGAACAATTTCCTCTTGGCATGTTTGCAAGCCTCAGCCTTATACATCAGCCTTGCATTGGCCTGGTTTGCTATTCGGCAAGGCCAAGCCACTCTCGTACGAGCACGTGCCGCACCGGTCTCTGATCTTCACTTCTCGACGTTACGAGTACAGTAACGGACGGCCCTGACTGAACGAGATACTTGTATATGATGATATGCCCAGATTGACTGCTATAGATTCCAAAGGCCCTGGCCTTCTGTCACTGCCGACGGGGAAGTATATTTTCCCGGCCCATTCCATCAGTACCTCGTATCCCAATTTGAAGTTGCCCTGAATCCGACAGGTCTTCGTAACACCTTTCCGCTTGCAATTCCAAGAAGTTGCTTTGATCACTAAGCCCGCCTGTCGTAAATGCTGTCCTGAATTCGTGATGTTTCCCTCCCGATCCCTCAAGCAAGGCATGTCCGTCTACGCCAACAGTAAGAAATACATAATCACAGCTCAATGAGCTACCGAGGCCGACGTGGCCAAGCCTGAAGGAGCTGGAGTCGAATGGGATGTTCCATCAAGCGGAAGCCAGTTCCGAGGGATATCCATTGACCTGTTGACGCGACCTCCTGGAGTAAGAGGGTGATCAACACGTGATCGATCCAGCCGATCGTCCTCATCGGATGTTTCGTCCGCCAGGCGAGCAAAATAATCTGCTAGTGCACTCGTCGAATCGCCTGACACAATATTATCGTACAGTGGAGGTGGTGTAACCAATGGTGGTGGCGCTTCATCATCATCGAATGCCGGTGGGTTGAAAGACGGTGCTCTTAACAAATGCATCGGTCTCGATTGCCCTGAGTTGGGGTCATTATGCACATGGGCTTGCGTAGGCATCGCCAACCCTCCTGTGTCGTTGGTCCAACTCCTGCTCACACCTGGGGTTGGTCCATCTGCTGACGCGTTGACAGTTTGAATTCGATTTTGCGATACGGGGGGAGTGTTCCGTCGTCGAAGTGCGGCACCAGGACAACCGCACTCAAACTCATCGGTCGACGACGGGACACCATCGCCGGCGCTGTAGGCTGGCAGTGAGATGTTTGCTTGTGTCGCACGGCAAGAAAGGATGTTGAAGGGTGAATCAATCGAGATCTCAAAGTGACGTCGCTTTCCAGAATCATTCTCGTCCGGTCGAGACAGCCGCATCACAATCTGGGGAATACGTTATTTTGGGAACAAGATGCAAAACGGTGAACACATACCTTGATCCAATGATTCACCTGAATGTTGGAATATGTCGTGTCAAAATGCAGTCTCTCACTTCTCAACTTGTCTTTCATCTGATGACAGCTGGGAAGTTGGACATTGAATTCCATTTCCGTGGGACCAATGCTTCCAGCATCATTGTCGAGGTTTCCGAGCAAGTTGGTCTGATCCCTGGGGATGTCCTCATCTCCTGCCGCGGCCTGCTGTCGATAGTCGTAAGGAACACCACCACCAGCCAGAATGCGCATGGAGCTCCCTGGGTAGGAAGTCACACTGTGTCCGTCGGCCCGCTTCTCGAAGAGCTGCACTTTCCTGGTCGGTTCAAGCCTGTGCACCTTCTTGTTGTTCGTAAAATATTGTATGTTCTCGGTCACAAACACCTTGATCCTGTGGCATTGAACCTTGGCCAAAGGTGTCAGCTTGAATGCAATAGGCACTGTTGAGCCCAGTGGGAACGATTTTCCAGAAATCACAATGTCATAGTGTAGCTGATCTTCCCAATTTCTTGAAATCGCGATAGGTTCGACTTGTTCTAGGGAGCCCTCGGCGGGGGCTCGGATCAAGGTCAGCTCTTTCGTGCCCACTAGGTTGGCACGGAATGCGCCAGAACGCTCAACCAGAGCTTCGAGCTCATACTTGACATGGCCGAGATCGACACTGATCGATTCGGGCAACCTCGAGTCAAGGGGCAGCTCGAAATTGTACACGTAGTCGCCTGGATGGAACACTTTGAAGCCTCTCTGAGCAACGGTAGGACCACCATTGATCGTGTCGCCTTTACCGAAGCTCCGCGAGTGATTTGCCTGTAACGATAATCTCTTTAGCTCGCGGGTCGATGTGTGGCTCTTGGCTGGAGATGCACTGCGCTGAAAGAGATCAAAGGATGAGGCCGTGACACCGAGTTCCTTGGCCTCGACGGATGGGCCTTTGGAGAGTTGGACGAGATCGGCACCGTAGCTATACTCAGCCTGGGGAAACTGGGCGTTGAAAAAGGACCAAGTATGGTTCATGATCGTGGTGGTATCCCGGAACTCGACGCGCTTCGGCGGGATGCCTTCAGGCCATTCCGTTTCTGATTTGCCCCGGAAGTTCAGAGATATCGACTTGAGCTTCGCCTGCTTCTGTACTCTCAACAGTAGACTTCCGCGAAGCATGGTGGTACTGTGCGTGGAGGGATCATTGGCATCGTAACCTTGTAGGAAAAGAACTGGCTCTGCCAGTGCAATGGAGACAGACACGCCATTCCCACTTGCAACAGGCTTCTCGTCCGCTAGTAAAGTCACGCTCGGCGCCACGGGCTGCGTCTCTGGTGAAGGTGGCTGAGCAGTAGCAGTTCGAGCGTTGCTGTTGTGTCTTGACCGATTGCTTACACCACTGACCACGCTAGAGCTCCTTCCCCTTCGTTCAGGTGAACGCCTGCCAACGTCGGCGAACACCATCTCCTCCGTTCCTACAGAACTCCGTCTTCGTCCAATTCGTACAGGTGCCACCGGATGAACGGGAATGTGCTGTGTAGACACGGGAGGGAGGCTGAGTCTCAGGAATTTCTTCGCGTGTTCTCGTGCGAAAGCCAGTTTTGCGAATGGCTCAAGGAAATTATTGTATATTGAGGGAGATAGGCTCTGTAGTGTTGCAGCAAGATTGTGCAAGTAACAGGAGTAAAGGGAGGACTCGATTGGTGAGGGAGCGCTTGTAGTGTCGGAAGTCTCATAGAACTGCAACAGATAGACGTCAGATTGATGGCCAAAGCGTAGGACTTGGAAGATGAGCAACAAGAGACGCAATCAACCGCGTCAGGCGATTCTGCGGACAACAGGTTTAAACGTGGGAGGGGCCGATCAGGTCGTGCCAACTTGTTGGACTCTTGGAGGCTTCCCCAAGTCCAACTCCGCAGTTTCTTTGACTTTGTCCTCTGGGCTTGCTCTCCTTGGCTAGAGTGAACGCACCTAAGGTGGCAGCTATAACACCGCGCTGGAATGGTGTCCTGCAGTGCTACTCGTACTGCCAGTCGGTCTCAGAGCGAACCGGAAGGACGGACCACCTTTGTTTCCATTGGTGATGTTCTCTCGGGTATGGTTTTCGACGGTTCTTGAATTGAAGGTTGAGGGGCGGACGATGAAGATCAGCGGAAAGGAAGGGCCTCTGGATTTTACTCACTTGCCCAATGTGCCAGAGTGAGATCAAGAGATCCAGAACCTTACGGTGAGAAAATCTGCGCTCGAATGCTGCAAGACCGAATGATGATGCGAGTGGGATATGTAAATGGCACGGCCGGCCCGGAAGAACCAAGGCAGAGAGGGTCGCTGATGGCTCGGATGAGGTTAGACTCGGTGGGTGACGAGGCGCCCTCGCTGCTGTATGGGTGGCCGCTTCTGATCTGTCAGGCGATGATTCAAGAGCAAGATCTGTTGCTGGGGGGTGAGTTTGGCTTGGAGCCCGCGGCCGCCGACTCCAGAGAAGTCAAATTATCATAGGTTGATAGCTTATGCCGGAAGTCAATCTCCCACTTTGTCACTGGCAGGGCCTGGTAGAGCCTCTTTTGTGTTCGGCTCGGCGGATCTTGAAGTCGAAGCATTTGATCGACATTCCGCTTTCCAGCAAGCATAGGAGGGGACACCACCCTCGACTTAATATCTGGTCGCCTTACTTATGTCGTGTGCCTAATCGACAATTCGGGCCCTCTGCTCACCACTCACGCCCCTTTGAAGCATTATGACCCGCCTCCAGACTGACCACGATCTACTCGTAACTCAGTTCTGCCCACATACTGCTCACGATTGTCACCCGGCTGTATAAGAGAATCTGCTCCGGCTTCCGCTGAATCATTGCCACCGACGTTCCAGAATTCTTATTATGGGTCTCCAATGTGCTCATTGACGCCGGGCACCTCAGAAGGCCTGCACATTGTCCCTCAAGGAGCGAGAGTGACGAAGAACAAAGCAGACGTACTTGCCGAGGTTTCCGCTGTGCTAACGCATGTCGCCCTTCACATGTAATGAATTTTCACTCTCCATGGTGGACGGGTATACATTGTTTCCGGAGGCGGACCGACAGGTCACGCGTTGACGCAACGACTCCGTCGTATCGGAGAGAGGGGCAGCATATACGTTCTTCAGGGTTATCCTTAGGACACACTTAATTTGCACCGAAGCGAGCCAGATCTTGCCTTCAACACAGAAACCCATGTCCAGATGGCTTAGCCACCCCTACGTACGTGGTGACCAGCTGTAATGATGCGTATTGCGTTATATCACAGTCACGTCAGGCCTCGTAAGACACGCTGTAACTGGCGGGATCCTCAGTACGTAAGTTTCATCCGTACTCGCTCGATGAACTTACGAGTACACCGAGCTTGGCTGAACCCCGGGCTATTCAGCTCTCCACTCGCGTGTGCTTACCTATTTCGCATTACCAGAAATTTGAAGGTTTATGCAAGGTTGGTGAAGTCCGTCAACAGAACCTGATTGATCTATACAATGCCTGAGACGGAAAACAAGCATCGAAGCCATAAATGTGTCCATCTGAACACCATGCCTCTGCTGATCGTTGTCACAATGCCCATGCAGACACAACATGAACACATCTTCCTTTGATGACATCTTCTTTGTGATGGCCGCCACGACTTTTCCCTCTGACCTATCCTTAGACCTCTACACACTAACATTCGTGTCTAGGTGCCGATCATAATGGTCTACTCAGTCTTAGCTGCCCAACGACGGTTGAACGAAAGACCAGCAGCGGAATGATTGTGGCATTGCGTATGTCAATGGGGCTGAGCAAGATCCTGACCCAGAAAACTGTTGGGCGGAGGAGTCAGACTCAGTAGTGAGAATTTACGCAGTGTGCGCGGCATTGGCATGATCAGGTCCGCACACGACACACGTTAGGATCCTTGCTATGTTTCCTTTATGAACCCAGACACGCCAACAATTCTTTCGAATATGGCGGAACGAAGGAAGGATATTAGCTCAGCGGGCCTCGAGGTGCTATTGTCCATGAAAGACATAGGACAGCCAGCGGATCCCCCGGCTCGCTTACTGTACATCTGACTCTCGTAGCTCCCTCGTTATGTTGCCATGTGGCCTGAAGGACGTTTATCGTGAGACATTTTCGAAAGCCGCCACGCCGCTGCGCAGAACTTCCATCGCGTGATGCAGGCTGGCAGCAGTCTACTCCAAACGCTAGGCTGCGGTAGGAGTACTGAACATAACCGTGCCAGGAAATCGCACGTGACGATCAAGGCCGGTTCCGGGAAGCTTTAATGCTGATATTCAGCATGATTCCGGGCACCTGAGTTCCAAGCTTTTTATATCTGATTATGTTGCATGGTGCCCTGCAGTATGCGAGACCCCAAGCGGGCACGGCGGGATACCCAAAGATGGAGTCTAGTCTCCCACCAGGGACAAGGCAACCAAGGGTATGTAGCTTCTGGGCGTGGCTTGAACTAGGTCATGAGATGCTGCTCGTACGATTACACCAGTAAATATACGGAACGTTGAGTCGATTCCAACTTCCCCGTTCCTCCCCGTTCCTTTGATCCGTCTGGAGTACGGAGTACTCTTTGACATCTGCGTCGGTGGCTGCCCCTACGTCATCCGCCAAGGGGCTACCCCACATTGCCAAGAATTGGAACGACTGCACCTCGGCCCAGTTGCCGTGCTTCAATTTATGGACGCGTTTGGGCGAGACGCGTCCAGCCGTGCCAGCTCAGCCCACCATTCCAAACCGCATCTCACTACCAAGTACTGACACTGTACTCTTATTGTTGTTACCGATTGCATGTACGCATTGACATGATGCATTATGCCACGACAGGAGTCTCCAGGTACGTATGGAAACATTCTGTCTTTGATGTCTCACTAAATGATTCCCCCTAGAATCCGCCGAGCAACCGCTTCAGGGTGTGGTGTTGTGCTTCACCTCGATTGGACCAGAAGACCGGGTCAGCACCGAAACGAGATCCTTTCGTTGTGTCGCTGACAACACTCCAGACTCGATATGCCGATATCGCAATCAAGATGGGAGCAGAGCACAAGCTCGACTTGACTTCAGATACCTCCCACCTAATCGTCGGTAGCACAGATACGCTCAAGTATCAATACGTCGCCAGAGAAAGAGAAGATATCAGGGTCTTGGTTCCAGATTGGATTGAGGCTGTGCGAGATCACTGGATCAATGATCTGCCTCTGGACCTGGATGCTCTTGCCACCAAATATCGAGTGCCCACCTTAGCCGGCTTGAAAATATGCATCACAGGTTTTGATGATCTTGTCTTCCGTGCTCAACTGCAGAACAATGTCAAGCAGAACGGTGGAGAATATACCGGAGACCTGACCAAGGACGTCACTCATCTGATCGCAGCCAAGCCCGAAGGGAAGAAGTACGAGTATGGGATGCAGTGGCAGAAAAAGGTAGTGAGTCTGAAATGGTACAAGGACAGCCTTGAGAGGGGCATGCAGTTGGACGAGGCTCTCTACCATCCTACACTCCCAGTCACTGAGCAGGGCGTGGGGGCGTGGAATCGAAAACAGCGACCATCTCCTCAACTGGGCAAACGTGCACGGGAAGAGACCATTGCTCCAGAGCCATCTCGGAAACTTCGAAGGACTGCAAGTGTTCGGCTGGGTAGTCAGAATCAGGACATGTGGTCGGACATTGTCGGTGGTGCTGGTTTCGAGGCTCCGACTGATGGCCGTCCGCGGCTGAAGCCTTCTATCTCCATGCCATCACTTCGAAGACCCGACAGACCTGCAATTGTGGCTGAGGACGTTCGGAATGACCAAGTCAATACTGGATCTGGTCCCGGCAATACACGTTTTGAAGGGTTCCTGGCTGGCTGTCACTTCATGGTACAATGCCTGGATCAGAAAAAGGTACGCTACGTCTCATGGCTATTGTTCCACAAACTATACTTATACGCCGGTAGAATGAACACCTACGGAGGATTTTGACCTCGCTCGGTGCGACAATCATTGGTGAAGACGAAACTCAATGCAGTATCGAACCTAGCAAGTTGTTCATTATACTGCCACACAATGTGGCCGCGGCTGGACCAGTTCCCGGAGACGTCGTTCCTGAGGGCTTCCAGGTGGTATCTGAACTCTGGCTGGAGAAATGCATGATCGCGAAGTCATTCATAGCTCCTGAAAGCTATCCACTCGGGCAGGTGATTAGAGAACCCAGCACGGCACTGAAAGATTTGACCATCAACGTCAGCGGCTTCGACGGAATCGAGAATGTGCATATCATCAAGATCGTCACATTGCTTGGCGGCACATACGCGGAGGCTTTCACTTCGGCCATTTCAGTGCTTGTATGCAGAGCCACCTTTGCGAGAAGGGACAAACTTGAGCTGGCACATCATCTGGGTATTCCTGTTGTGACGGAGGAATGGCTGTGGTCGACGATGAAGGATCAGGCCAAAGCAAGCATAAACGATCATCTTCTGCAACCTCAGCCATCTCACGTCGCGAAGAATGACGCGGCCAGCGCGACGAAGGCACCCACGGGCGACCATGTGTGGTTGGGGACGACGTTTCTACAGAGAAAAGCGAGCGATGGACCAGCACGCCGACAAGGACGCGCACAGGCAGCTGATAAGCGGACCAGACCAGGAGCGGTAACAGTCAGTCCTAAAAGGTCGGGTACACCTGTCATCGTTCACCAGGAGTCCTCAGATGTTGCACATGGTACAGACGTTGCGGATGTTGCAGGTATTGCAAATGGGCCCGAAATGAAGGTATCATCTAAGCGCACGAGTGCCTCTGAGCAACAAAGTGACACACAGGATGGGTTGTACGTCGATGGCAAGTGTCCACTCCGAGAGCTCCCTCCAACTTCTGCTCGCAGGAACGTTCAGGCTGTCGAACATACTAAGGCTCCCATTCCCTCACTGGATGGTGCATCGAGTGTGGAAGAGCAGAAGGCGAAGGAAAACACGCAGGGGGTGGTAGAAGTCGCAGCAAAACTCACCGACGTCGAAGCGATCAATGGGGCAATCCGAGACATCTTGAATGAGCGCTCGAACCAAAAAGCTGCCAATAACAAAGTGTCCGATGAACCAAGGAAGAAGAACAACAGACTGGTCGGCCGAGCTCTCAGCAACCTGTCCAATTCATCATCTACCTCGAATGTGCGACCCTCGAGAGCAAGCTCTGTTGGCAGCGTAAACACAGATGGCATCGGCACCGAACTTCCTACCAAGCAATTGGGAGAGCACCAGGGTGGCGAATCGACATCCGCAGCCGAAAAGAGAAGCTTCAGCCTCACCGGACGAGCTAAGACTCCTCTAGCAGGGCTGAATTCTGCTGCATATGGGATGGACGATCCTGATTTGGTCAGGCCGGCAGGTTTTCACACCGAGCAAGAACCAGCACCTCGCATGACACAACTGGGCTACGAAGACCCCGAAGAAGCAATCCTGCTACGCGAAAAGCTGGCTGCTTCGAGACAGAAAAGATCAAAGAACCCTGGCGACCATGCAGCTGAAGATCAAGACGAGAGAGCGAAACCAGCCTTGACCAGGCGGAAAACCGCTGACCGCAAGATTCGCGACGATGATCTACTGGCCATCGCGAATACAGGGTGGGGAAGCGGAAGGAGGACGAGGCATAAGCAGCGGAGTCCTCCAGGCATAAAAGGGTTTTGAGTACGGACTAGCGGGTCTCTGTTCGCTGGCATCTGTGATAGCTTTTGGTCTAGAAGAATATACGAGAAATGTCTGCACTCTTGTGCTAAGGTGCTTCGCCTACCAATCCATTTCCGCAGCCTCGTTGCCTTTCCTCGCCGGTTCCAGTATTGGAGAGACTGTCCCAAAGGCAAATCTCACTACATCCTACAGGTAGGGTTGATGAGATTCGACCAGGGACTGACAGTTGCACGGAGACGGAGTACTCCTACGAGGTATGAGTAGGCGATGTGAATCAGCATCGAAGTGTGATCGACAGCGCAGGTTGTTTCACCGTAAAATGACTGTAAAGCTGGGAGATGGATCTGATATTAGCGTGCTGCACGGATCAGCGGTGCTCCCGGGTGCTTTGCAAAAGCAAGAAAGATCTACATCCTCGTCGTACGTGCAGGGCGGTGGCATTGGGTGGTCATAATGGTGTTCGCACCATTGGACGTCGACTGATTAGTCAAATCGGACTCAGTCCTCTGAACAATGCGAAGTGAGGCCTCGACATTGTAATAATAGTGGCAGCAGCAGCAAGCAGTGACTTCGGACGGTGGAATATTGGAGGTGGTCGCACACGATGGTTCATTTACCGATCGGATGAAGTGCTCACTGAGCACCTCTTCAGCGCGCCGTTCTCGGAGCCAATGGAGTGAGGGTCAGTTTCCAGCACGTAGTCGTAGCTCGTACATAGCCTTGGGCTCAGGCGCAGTTAGGAACAAGATCGACGGGGGAGAAAGGCACAACTCAATTAAGTTTAAGCTTGCGGTCACCCAGCGGTCACCCATGATTCCGTGAGCTGGACTGAAGTCAGTCACACACAGAACCAGCAGCACCGGAGATTTTTAACATGGAATGCAACGCTTGCACTCTGATAGACTTCACCGAGCTGACTGGTCACTGGCTAGCGGAGGGTGGAAGAGGATCTGCTGTTGCCGTTGTCAACCAGTTGAAGACAAGTCTGGAGTGACAGGAGACCAAATGAAACCTTGTCGATCTTGCTTTCGAACATTCTCCCGCTTCTGTCTCGGCACCACTCCAGCGTCCAGTAATTAGCTGATCAGGTAGTCAGTGTTTCTCCCCTTGCGCGGTTCGAATCCGGTGTATATTGCACACTAATACACAGTACACAGTACCATCTCATCGACCCCCTTTCAGCTAGTGACGTGACAGTCTGGTGGACTCTGGCGACTACTGGGCACGCAGGCGCCTGAGCTTCCCTTGAACGTCTCGAAGCCTCATCGACCCGCGGGCGGGGTCTAGAGCCCTACCGAGCTGTCGGCCTTGGGCGAACTCACCGAAGCCTTGCGTTTCAGCCTATTCCATCCCCGTCCTGGTGGCGACGACCTTTCAGCGGCACGACCAATCGAACCCCGGATGCCAGATTTCTCAAACTGCCAACGCTCTGTGCTCAATTCTCATCCACCTCGATTAAGCAAAAGTGGAAATCGCGCTACGGACTTTGCTCTCCTCAGCTGATCGGTTTCCTGGTCCCCGTCTCACAAGCACCAGCAGAAAGACAGGGTTTGAGCCTGCGTCTTTTCCTCAGTCAGGCTCAGTGTCACAGACCCCCGACAGGGCTCTCACCAGTGACATCTTCGCGACCCCACCGCGCCTTGACTCCTGGGACCCGTTACGTGTGCTCCGTATCTCGAGCCGCTTCGTCGCTAGTCACCCGAGCGGAACATCAGTTCAAATACATCATGGCAGACCTCGCGCGCGAGGAAGCCGAGCGGTACTTCTCTCATCGCGAACATCCGGCATCTCATCCCGAAGATCGCGACCAGGACTCGATACATTTGTCCGACGACCAGGCTGAGCCCGAGCACGACGACTTCTCCGATCCAGGCACAGACGACGACACGATAGCCAACATGGCGACCATGACGACCACCAAGACCACGTACCATCTTCCAACACAGACACACTTCGCCAATACGGGGCCCAAGGGCGTTATTGCGGACGCCCAGTCCTACAATCGAGCTAAGCAGTCCACCTTCCGACAACGGCTGGCCAGCTTTGCCAACAACCTGGCCTCGAACGGGAAGTCAACGGCCGCGACCGCCGTCACAGAGAAGAAGGACAAACGGCGATCCATATTCGGGACCTCCCCAAAGTCGATCACGTCTTCGGACTCTGAAAATATCGCCCTGTCCGACGATGACGCAGACTCAGAGTTCATGCAGACATGGCGAGCCAACCGGCTCCAAGAACTCTCCACGCAATCCCAGTCTGCGTACCAGAGGAAACCCAGCCAACGAAGCTGGGGCACATTCCAGGAAGTCGATGCGAATGGCTATCTCGACGCCATCGAGAAGGTGTCGGACGACACCTACGTGGTGGTGATGATCCACGACCCTGCCTCGTCACGGAGCGCCGAAGTCGAGGACGAACTGGGCATGCTTGCCTACAAGCACAACACGACACGCTTCGTCAGGCTCGATTACCAGCTCGCCGAGATGGAGACGGTCGAAATTCCAGCCGTCCTGGCATACCGGGCCGGCGAGGTCGTCGCTACAATATCCGGCGCCAAAGCCGAGGGCCTAGAAGGTGTATTATTACAGTAAGTGGATCGACGAATGCTTTTTGCTGCCAACCCCCTCCCCCCTCCCCGGTCCAAAGTATAGAACCTGAGCTGACAGACGTGCTGCGAAAAAAAAAAGGCACCGCATCCTACAGTAACGTGGACGTGGACATTGACGTTGACGCCTGTTGCTGTGCCGGTGCATGGTGCAGGCGCTGCGCTGCGCTTATCCTAACGAGTTACGCCTCCCATTTCTCAGTCATGTACATATACCACCGGCCCTGTTCGCGGTTTCGCAGTGGTTTCCTCGACACAAACCAAATTAACGAGCACGTCAAAAGTCAGCCCGCCCATTTGACCCTTACCAGGGAGGTGGTGCCGGGGGGACGTATACCGGTTCCTCCCAACGACGGTTCTATCGGGGAGAAGAGACCACCCTTTCAACCGTCCAGACCAAGTCAGACATCCTGGTTACGCCAGACGCTGGCTGCCCTCTAGCCGGGAGTCTCCCTTCATTTACAAGTCTTTTGTGCCATACATACATTACGAGCACATCAGACTGTGTCATAATTTGCGCCTTGCCGCCCTCGTCCGGCAAAATGAGACGCCGGCCTAGGTTTGAGCATGTCTAGGGAAGGGAGCTGAACTACTACAATATTTGGGACATCCGGTCACGCTACGCCGCCACTGGAAGAGAGGCGATGGCGTCCAATTTTTTTTTTTGGGGAGCCGTACAGCAAGGACATAGACTCTGGATATTTTAAATGAACTCGCGTTCACGAATCATTATTTTCGTCAATTTTCCCCTCGGGGCCAGCTCTAACCTGCATTTTCGTGGGCATTCAGCCGGGGGCATAATCTGGAATCTTCGGAACGCTCAAGGCGGCATGATGCATTGCACCCAGCTAAGCTGACGTGACGCAACCCATTGCTGCGACTTGTCTGTCGCTCGCTCCCGCGGGTCTCGACGACGGCGTACATGGTCATGAATCCCTAGCCTTTCCCAGGACCGTCTCCATGCGCCCCATTGCGCTGGGATCCCCCGCTACACCGTCTGAGGCCCCCGCGTTACTTCCGTAAAGATTCCTTGGTATCATTTGCGTGGAAACTGGTAAACATGCAGAAAAAGCTCGAGTCCCTCCAGATGACTGATGGTACAATGGATCCAACCTTGCCGGAAAGAAGCCCCATGCCCCGGGCCCCGATGCTGTCGCGATCGACGACCACAAGCTCAAGGAGATCCAGAAGAGTCAGGTAGGTAAAAAAAGCAACGCCGTCAGTGCGACGCAGACCGTCGGAATCCGCCATTTGTCATGCTTGGCAGTCGCCCCGCCCTTTGCTTCACACGTTGAGTTCGTCGCGCCGCGTGCACCTCGTTTTCACGTAGCGTTCTCGTGCTCGGAAGAAGAGCAGGATGACGCGTAGAGGCGTGCGGGCTCGAGAAAATCTGTCGTCCTATGCAGATGCCGAGATGGCGTTCTTTTCCGTCGTGAAGTCCCAAAGCATCTTGATCAGGTTCTCCGGCAGGGTGTACAAGTCGACGTGGAACTCGCCTTGCTCAGCGTCGTTTCTCATCCACGAATCCTCACTTTTGTTGTCATGAACCATCTGGACAACCTGGAGCAGATCGTCCTCGCCAAGCTTCTGCAACCCCTCCGCCAACTTGTCCATGTCGACGACCTTGGAGTCTCCCTTCTTTTTCTTCTGCGTCGACGCCCCACCACCGATCTCGCTTGTTCTCTTCTTGCCGGCTACGGGTGTATCTGCACCGTTTGCCGCCGCGCTTTCGCCTGGAATCGGGCCGGAATTTCGCAGTGCCTCGAGCAGCGCTCCCTTGGGATTCTTGAATGCAATGATCTGCTTGGTCTCATAGCGAGAGTTGGCGAAGTTGAGGTCGTGGACAAGGGCATGGGTTTTGCCAGAGAGGTCTTTCAATTCGATTTGCAGCTCGAATTCACCCCAGCCATCTTCGGAGACGCGAAAGGGCGGCTTCTTGAAAACTGCGAGGGCGGTCAGGTCAATTGGTTCTGTCGCGCGGCGTCTGCGGGGGCGGGCTCGAAAAAGTTACCTTGTCTGGCCTTGTCGCCGAAGGACTCGTGGAGGATGTATGTGACCGACTCGAAGATGTCTGCGTCAATCTCTTGTTTGGTATCGGCGTGGAGGAGGACGATTCTGGTAGACCAGTGTCGAAGGGGGAAGCCTGCAACGCCACTGTCGGCACCGGGACTGTAGCAATGAAGTCAGAACATCCGCGTGTCGCGTGTAATGAATCCTTGGTTTTCCAGCGCAAGTAGTCACGGCGTTGCCACGGCGCTGGAAGAGCATAAAATAGGGGTGACGAATGGGTGAGGGAGAATGGTGGTGTGATGGCACGTACATGACCTTCTGGTCGGTTATGATTTTGATGCTGCGCTTCACCTATAAAGCCTGTCAGCCACCCAGTCAGACTAAAGCATCGATTTCGAGACATACGTCCGGCATGGCGACGACGCTGTATGTTGCTGAGCCTGAGGATTCCGAAAACCGTGTGGGGTTGAAGACTGGCTCTATGGCGCTGTTGACGGGGATGCAGTGGGGATAGAATGTTCCGTAACGGAGAAGAGAAGAAAACAGAGCGGGGAGAGAAAGGATCGAGACGCGCGACTTCCCCGGCGTAGGCGATTCTAGTGAGTCTACTGTGTAATGTCCTGGGTCGCCGCACGAGGGATGGGAATGAAGTGAGCGAGGCTGCATCTGGCGCGGGCTGGTCTAGCCTGAGTAGTCTAGCGTTCTTTCGGCATGCATGCATTCATTCTTGCTTCATTCTGTCCGTGTCTGGGTAGAACTCCAATCTCTATCTAGGTAAGTTTGGGTATTGACACAGATACTGTCAGAGTCCAAGGCAAACTTCCGACTGACTCATCCATCGGTTCTTCTTTCATGCTCTGCTCTGCTCTTCTTTGCGTTGCTTCACTTCACTCGACTCCGTAGATTCATGCTGGACACCAATTGTCACACATTCCACGCTTGCTTGTTATGCGTCAAAGGATCATGACTTCTGGAAGAGAGCTTCATTGTCTTGCTGCGCCTTGATGAAAGCTTCTTTGAAGAGGTTCGCATCTGTAGAGAGATCAGTAGCCGCATAATGTTTGCAGGGTGAAGTTCCACGTACTCTCACTGTTTCCAAATCGGATTGCCAACGTCTGGGCTTCGGGTTCCCCTTCGCTGACATCGGCTGCAACGTTCCACACCCAGCTGCGGTCGCTGCCAACGTTGGGGGAGAGCTTCATGTCAGGAGTAACTAGATGAATCATCAGTACTTTGCCCGTGTATATTCTCACCCAGGCAAAAACTTACCGTAGTGGTTGGCGCAAACCTTCAGAGTCTTGTCTCGGCGCATGACCAGTCGTGTCTTGCCATTTTCCTTGTGCTTGAGCAGTCGGACATCGCCAGTGCCCCGCTCCTTCCATTCTCTGGAGTCTCGATCAAACTTGAAGAGTTTGGCCCGCATCTTGAAGACCTGCTCCTCAGATTCCTCGTTGGTCTTGGTGTCGACTCGCTCTGTCAATCGGACGACGGGTTCAAACTCGACATCCGCTTCTTCCTCGTCGACCTTGTCCTGTTACAGCGACCCATGTCAATTCATATCATCAGTTAGAGTGTAGTAAATCTTACCTCTTCGTCTTCATCCTTCTTTTGCGCCTTGGAACTTCCGCTGGGTTCGTCATTGGCGTCATCCGCCTCTTCGGGCTTGCGCTCCTTTTTAGCTCCGCCACCAAACATAGAGAAGACAGAGTCCTTGACATTGGAGGCCGCAGCAGATGCGGTGCTGGCCGCGTTGGTGGCGGCATTGGTGGCGGCTTCCGTGTACGTGGGAGGCTTCGTAGCATTGTCGCCTTTGGCATCGGTTGCAGGGGCTTCAGCCGAGGGGTCACCGAGCGGGTTCTTGACGAGGTCGGTCTCTTGTTGCGCAGGCCTCAGGTCGGCGGAGGCAGCTTGAGTCGCAGAGGGAGTCGGTTTGGCATCGCCTGCGTCCGCCATGATTGCCGAGGTCGGGAAGAAGGCTTGATGGAATTAGAGTTGAATAATGTGTGTACAGCGTCAAACGTGGTCTGAAGTTATGGTCCGTGAGCTGAAACTGAAAGAATTGTTTGTCACGGGGAGGGACAACACAGGCCATCCCACTAAATTGTTCGCCAAGCCGCTGCTCTGCTATGATATCACAGGTGTGACTGTGATCTCGTTGCCCTCACCACGCCCTCACCAGGCTCTCACCCTCACCCTCACCTTCGCCGTTGTGACCATCCCGGTCCTTCCCACTGCTCCTCCTCTATTTCTCAATTCAACTATTCAAGCGATATGCTTGGCTCGCAAATATGCCACTGCTAGATCTGCCAGATGACATTCTCTCCATCGTCCTATCTTACCTGCCCCCGGAGGACTACCTGAGGCTCTGTCGGGTCTCAAAGCAAGTGTATGTGAAGTATCGTCAAGACTCTTTATATTGGAGGAATGAGACTTCAAGTACATTCCGACTGCCCATTAGTCCCCTGCTCGCCGCAGATGGCCCTCGCTGGTACTGGCTATACAAACGACTCAAGACCCAAACCCGTCTCTACACATGGGGCCAGGGCGTCAAAGGGAATCTGGGCCCTGGGAGAGCCATTTCGGTGCCTCATCGTCCACCACCCCATGTTCCACAGCGAGTACTCCCACGAGTACCTGCTCGACCACATCCAGCGATGCTTCCTCCACGACCAACTCCTGCCAGGATACCTCCGAGGCAGCTCTTTCACAGAACCTCCTCCAGCTGGCCCACCGAGGTGCACATCCCAGACGAGGTGGGCGTAATTGCCGATCTTCAGTGTGGAGGGTGGTCGACGACAATCCTATCCGCCAACGGAAAGCTATACACTACGGGCTCGATTGATTCGAGAGATGGCAGTACGATAGGTGAAGCATCTGACGAGTTCCACCCCCTCGAATACTTGACGCAGAGCACGTCTGCCATCCGACAGTTTTCTTCCGGACGCTCTCACGTCCTAGCGTTGACCGATCACGGGCAAATCATCTCCTGGGACAGAATCAATGCGAAAGGGCTGATTGTGTACTCGAGAAGCGGTGTACCCTTTGAAGGCAGACCGACAAGAGTCGCTGCCGGCTGGGGAGAGAGCTCTGCCTACGTGCCCGATGTAGGCATCATCTACTGGACTCCCCTGCAAAACAATCAGACAGATGAGATGGAGGACTCGAAGCCCGTGAATGAAAAGGTGATTCCAGGAACCGCCCTTCGAGCTTTGGAGAAAGGGCAGGTCGAAGTCATCAAGCACATCGTCCTTGAAGATTTCATCGTCTATATCACGAACGAGTCCAAGGCGTATGCCTGTTGTATGCGCACAGACCACCCAACCCAGTCCGTACCCTCGCAACCTCCCTTCCAGATGCCAGGATACAGTGCACCAGACCGTGAGCTGAAGGACATTCAGGGCTCGTTTCGGAAATTCAGTGTCTTCACGGCGGCGGGCGAGGTCCTATCCGGCGACGTCGACTACATCAGAAGATGCGCAGACGCGGCTCGAGCCTATCCGGAAGCAGTGTCGTCAGGCGATTGGTCCACCTTGACCACCTTGCTTGCTTCCAGACCGCAAGATATTCCTGCCCTGCAGCACACTGGCGTAATCGCCTTGGCGTATGGCGACTATCATTACCACGCCCTGCATGCCAATGGCAAGATCACCTCCTACGGCACCGACTCTCAGAGCTGTGGATCGCTAGGCCTTTCTGGCCCGGAGAACGGTGGACGTTTCCGCGGTCTGCGTCGCGAACGAGCCGGCACTCGCAGTGACGCGCAGTTGCTTCCTATCGCGAACATCCGAGGCCGACAAATCTGGTTCGAACCTGAAAGGAAGGACTGGCTGCAATGGATGGAAGACAAGCTCAACCAGCCGCTCCTTGCGGCCAATGGCCAACCAGCCCGACACATCTGGGACGTAGACGCCGTCAAACAAGCCGCGTTCAGCGAGTGGGTCGAGCAGGAAGGGAGGCATTGGGAGGAAGGGCCAGTAAGTGAGGGTCCCGCCGAAGAGTCTGCTCAATCCACCAAGAACGACGGAGCAGGCGACTACGCAAACCTTGGATCCTACTTTCCTATTGCAATCGCCGCTGCGGGCTGGCATAGCGGAGCTTTGGTCCTAGTCGATGAGGACAAGGCCCATGCAGTTCGGATGAAATGGGTCGCTCACCGTGGACAAGACCTCGAAGAAGACAAGACGCGTTCCATGCCCGGCGCATTCGAAAGTCTAGAATCCGACGAGACTTATATATGGAAGAAGGAAGGGTTTCCGAAAGTGCGACTCCCGACCGGATCTGAAATGCCCGGTGAGGGTGAGCCACGACCATGGAGGGACGGGACCCCGACCATGCAGGAGATGGGGCTGGGGTAGCTACTGTACTGTTTAGCTGTACACTGTAACAGTAACGAGACCAGCTCGGCCCATTGATGCAATGGGAGTAATGTTTCGAATGCTGTTCCGGCTAAGCATTCATGCAGGCATGAATCCTGCCAGCACAGCACAGCACAGTACGATCATTGATAAGATAGATACAGCCAGACAAACAGACAGAAACTCAGCCAGTTACAGTTACAACGCAGTTAGGGTCATTGCTGTCAAACTGTACTGCAATTAACTCACGCCCTATCCGCCACAGCCAGTAGCACCAGTCTTCCTTGCCCTCCCTCGTCCTTTATGCCACCCGTCCAGGAGTTGACGACGTACCGACATATACTGTACTGTATCCATATGCTACCTAGCGCGAGGGACGAATTCGTATCTGAATTAATAATAACTAGCAGCGTGCACAGTGATCGTATAGAGTACCATACCACATGTGGTGGTGTATATGGTACGCGATTTCTCCCAATCAGCCAAGTATCAAATTGACGGTCATTAAACTGCGCAAACCAGCTTGATACACCCAGGCAGCACTTCTCTTGACGAAACACATGTAATGAAACGCGGTGGAAACGATATTATATATTCGATCTCATGGCCTTTACTCTTGGCCAGTCGAGTCGAGTCGAGTCGAGTCGAGTCCGGGCCGGTCGCGTGGTAGCACCGAACATCGTTAGCCGATATCACATGTATAGCACATAACATTGTAGCATATAATACCGTGTTGTATAAATACTATACTATATCATCGCGATATTATTTGAATTGATCTCAAACCCACCCTACACTCCTAACATCCCAGTCACTTCCCATCCCGTCCCATACCGTCCCATCCAAATCAAATCGACCGTGCACCAAACTCTTTCTACCTTTCCGCGGGCCCTTTCACCGAGCCCCCTCCTCGAAAGCACATCCTCCTATGTAAGTTCCCAAACGCCTGTCAAGCTGTCGGCCGTCGTCCCCCTGACCAATTCATAGCCTCCGATCCGAGACAGTAAGAGCCCAATGGGCCCACACCAGCTAATCCACGCCCTCCCCCCTAAGAGCGATGATGCCCATGTCCATGTCAATGCCGTCGACACAGTCCAGGCGCGTGCAGCGCGTACCAGGGGTTGTTGAAAACGTTTTGGCGCTCGTCAACGGGCGGGGCGTACACGACCGACACGACCGACACGACCACTAGGCACGTATTATACAGATTGCCGAGTACTGAGTAGGACGAGGAAGGGCGACGGGCCGTTGACAGCTGGCGCGAGAAGGGAGGGTGGGAGCCGCCATTCCCACTGCCCACTGCCCACTGGGGGGGGTTGACGTACTACAAGAACAGGAGACCCGCGGCGACGAAGCTGTTCAACGATGGAGATGGAGAGAGGTAAAGAGATGACGCTGTTCAACGATGGAGATGGAGAGAGGTAAAGAGATGACGCTGTTCAACGATGG